TAATATTTTTAAATATCAACTTTTTATAATTTTTATTCATACATAGCCAAAGATATTTACGATAAAATATGTTCATTGAAGACTGCGCAAATGTAAAGTGAGTCGAACTTTCGGGAACAGAGGGAGTACATAGTATTATACTACTAGCATGTACTATATATTCTATTATAACACTACAAAGATTTTTGTATTTTTACATAATATACGTAGTATATTAAAAGCTTACTAAGAAATATATGAAAAAAAAAATTAAGTCAGTTGATTGTTGAGAAAAAATATTGCATAAGAGAGAATGAATAATAGTGTGTAAAAAAAGAAATGTATTTACGAGTTAAATACATTGATAAGAGTTTTTTTTTTTTTTTTTTTTTTTTGAAGGAAACATTTATAAGATATTTGTTTGGTTAACAATACGAGTAAGAAAATGATATAAATTTGTTGGAGAAATATAAATAAACTGTATAACATATACATACATGCGAATTTTAATTTATCTTCTTTTTTTTTCTTTTTTTTTTGTTAGTAGTGGACTATTTTGTAATAAATTAATTTTACTCAGTAATATCTTAGACATTTTTTTTCCTTTTTAATTAAATACTCCTTCCATCCCATAACATTTGAAACGTTAAGGTGAACACGTTGTTTAAGAAAATTACAAGTGAGCCCATTTAAAACATTTTACAATATGAAATAAAGGATTATCTTTTGTATTTTTACTAGTTTAAGTCCCGTGCAATGCACGGTTTTCACTTAGCATATTTATAAATTATAATGTTAATTTAACAATAGTTAAAAATAATAAAAAATTAATATTTTTAATTGAAACAATACTTGATTTTCTTTTCCATTGAATTTTATATTATATTGATATCAAAAGTTATTTAAAAAAAAAAAGAAGCAATATTTAATGATTATATGGTTTTATATAAGATTAAAATGTTATGTTAATTATAACCCGTGAAATGTACTTATGTACCCCATATATCCCTATTCTGGCACAATGTTTTATAGCATACTTTGACGGTATAATGTTTTATACAAATTTAATTAAATTTTTTTTTTGTGACAATTAATAATCAAGGTTTTTTAATTTTTATTTTATAGTTATTGAATTGTAGTGTTATTTTTATAAATAAATCAACAATTCTAAAAAAAAAATATAAATAATAAATAAAAGGAAATGTAACAATCCGGTTGGAGCAAAAAATCTTTCAAAGGAAAAAAAAATATGATGTAGAATGATATGAACTATGGAAAACTGGAGTTTTAGATTATTCCAATATTCCTTATCTTACCTTATATGTAGTATATGTTTGTTTGATATAGAAAAACACCTATTATAAAATATTATATGTCAAAATATTTTCATTAATTGAATGCATATAGAATATACTTTATATATAGTTGTCAAATTGAAAGTTAAATATTATAGGATATTATAAAATAATGTTCATAAATATTGTTAAAAAAAGGAAAGTAAAAGTGGCGGGAATTTTTTTAATCAAAACATGACAAATGTCATATTAGATTCGCCTTTAGTATTATGTTATTGATATTATAAGAACAAAAAGTGGGGGTGATGAGGGTAGTGAAGAGAGAGAAAATGTAACACTATCTTCGATTTTTTTTATTTAATTGCAACTTTGAGGTATTATTTGAGAGACATAAAATATTCCAAAGTTGTAACTAAAAAAAAAAACCAGAGGTAGTATTTAATTAAGTTTTGGGGTTTGTGGTCTCAAATAGAGTACATGAATATTTTTTTTATTAATGGTCTCATTCCATATTTAGTAATGTGTCAAATATTTTGGACGGACAAAAATGGAAATCGTGTCCAGTATTATGAGATGAAGGGAATATAGTTTATTACTTCGTATATCATAGTTTTTGAAAATTATTGTGCATGACATGAGACATAACCTAGTTTTTAAATAATACTCTATCTGTTTTAGGAAAAATTGAATAAAGAATAAAATACGGAGGTAGTAGGGTTGGTCAGTAGGTGGAAGAAAAAAAAAATTGTAAAAGCAAAAGTAGTTGAGAAAATTAGAGAGGAGATGATATGAAATTAATAAAATATGATTTATATTAGGTCTATTAGTTGAGATAACTAAATTAAATAGTAGAAAGCTAAACTTTGCCATCGAATATCTAACTAACGGCCGCAAAATAAACTTAAATATAAATTTACCCTTTTTTAAGCAAAAAAAATTACCCCCTCAATTTACCCCTCTTCCTACTAACCACCACTACCACCACCACCTCCTCCTCCTCTTTTAACCACCAACTCCTTACCTTCGGTTTCATGATCTACACAGTCGCAGTAATGACGAGTAATGACAAAGGGAAGTCGGTCGCTGACGGAGAAAACTTTTTTTTTTCCTGAATTCGCGGCAAACGCCTAGATTTTTCGCACGTCCTAAGCTCAAACGCCTAGTTCGTGCGAATAACCGTGAGGTTGAATGAAAAATCTGGGCGTTTGAGGTGAAACGCTTAGTTTTTTAGAATACTCTAGGTTGAAACGCCCTAGTTTTTTCGAATAGCCTAGGATGTTTCGAAAAAACTAGATGTTTCAGCCTAGGGTATTCAAAAATTCTAAGCTTTTCTTGGGTTTCGATTTTCTTAAAAAAATTATCGCAACGTACCGATTCCGTACGGTTCGACGAGCCTTTGGCGAGCGTCTAAGGTTGTGTTACTTGAATTTCGTTGTTGTCCATAAGATCTAACGAATTTGATTTTGTAAATTTTCAAAAATTTGTTTGATTTTGAAAAACATGATGACTTGATTTTGCTAAGGGAAGGGGGTGGAAAACATGTGTTAATATTTATGATTGATGATGACTTGATTGAACTCAAACTCACAGTGATTGGGGTGGTTGTTCGATGAGTGTTGGTGGCCGTTGACCACTAGAGAGAATGGTAAAAAGTTTTGTGTACAGTAAAAATGTGAAATTGAGGTAAAATTATTTATTTTTATAGTCGTTATTATAAAGATAAATGCGTAATTTTATTTTATTTTGCGGGCGTTAGTTAGATATTCGAGGGCAATATTATAAAATCTTTCCAAATAAAAAAATAAAACAAGTACTTGAAAACGTCGGAAAATGAAAAGTAGAACAAGTATTTAAAAACGGAGGGAGTGCATCGTACTCTATAACTTTTATTTATAGAAAATTGTAGCAAGTCTAAGGGCTTGTTTGGCTGAATGTATCCTTGGGAATTTGATTTCCCTTAAAATTGAACTTCCTAGGAAATTCTAAAAAGTGTCCAATTAACCAAGTGAAGTGGATATTCCCTTGAGAAGTTCCACATACCTAGCCAGCACTAGGTAATTTAGTTTCTTCATTTTGTGAGAAGTGAAAATTCATGGAAATTTCTACTTTTCCATGAATGTCACCCAAATAACTCCAGGTTGTGTTTGGATATACTCAATTCATTACAAAGGAAAGATTTTAATTTCAGAATTTGAATTCTTAGAATTCAATTCCAAAATATTTGTTTGGGAAATAGTAGAATTTCAATTGCTAGATTTCAAATTCCATCTGATTTATGAACAAGAATAGATTTTCTACAGATATGCAGAGTAATTAAATATTGAAAAAGTAAATTTATGATCAGTGGATAATTTTTAATTGAAGGAACAAACAAAATTTTAAAAAAAAAAAAAAATTAACAAACAAAATTGACTAATTTATTGTACTAACTATCAATTTCAAGTTTTGGAACAGTTTTTTAACGTCAATTTCTTCCAAAAAAAACATCAATTTTATGCTATTTTATTTAGTGTTCTCTGTTTTATTATTAATAAAAATTGCAGTTTGATTGATTTATAATCCAAAATCAATGCTTCTACTTAATATTATAAACCCTAATTTTTCCCCAATTTGATTATTCGAATGAAAATCATGAATTTACCTTCCAAATTAATGAAGAAGTAGCTTAATTTTGATGAAATTAAACCTTTAAAAACTTGAATCTTGCTTCAATTAAACAAAACAATCTTGTAAACAACAAAATGTGTGTCAAAATTGTTCAAATAATGATGTATTTTGGGGGGTCAACGGCGGCGGGGATGACGACTTTGCTACAATGGTTGGGTCAGCGTAGCTGGCTGGCATTACAATGGATTAGAATTTCAAATTCTTAAAGCTACCCTTATGTTTGTAAGGGCTTGGATTTGGGCTAAATACAATTCCAAATTCTTGAGTTATCCAAACAGCCTATTTAGCCCAATTCCAGGATTTCTAATGAAATCCTTAAATCCAAACAGACCACCAGGGAATTTCAATTCTTAAGAATTTCAACTTCCCATGTTTTTATATGTCAACCAAACACCACCTAAAAGTCTTATCTTATAAATTCCTTGACCCACCTTGTTGTCCCCGACTCTGCAGAGAGCCAGAGACTACTGTAAATAGATTATAAAGTGCCTTCAAAGTTTGAAGGCGTTAATATGTTCAAGTACAAAACAGGGCTGCTGGAACACTTTGTGAGACCCTTTACTTGCATTCCAATTCAAAATGCAAAAACTAATGATTTTTATACAACAAATCTGCACAAAATCGCCCTCAAAAATACACACTATAGAACCAATTTTAGGACTAGATATCATTTAAGTGTAACCATGCTTTTATGAAAAGCAGATTAAGCTGAGAGAGAAATTAGCCTACAAAGATCTCCTACAGTAGTTTCTTTCTTATTCTTCCCTTTCCTTCCAAAAGCTCCCTTAGCCAGCTCCTTTTTTTTCTGTTGCAATTCTAACACTCTCTCTTCGATTGTGTTTCGAGCGATGATCCTCACAATCTTCACATCTTTTCTCTGGCCAATTCTATGAACACGGTCCATAGCTTGTTCCTCAGTTGCTGGGTTCCACCATGGCTCCAATAAGTACACCACTGAAGCAGATGTAAGATTTATACCTGCAGTTATGTAACTCTAATCATTTCATTCTTCTAGATAAACAAAGATTCTGACTAGGAAAAAAGGGCTCATACTCATACCTGTACCAGAGGCTTTGAGACTGGCAAGCAAAACAGTAGGAGAATCAATTTCACTAACACCAAATTCCTGTATCACTAGACCTCTCTCTTTTGCGCTCATTGAGCCGTCCAACCGCAGTGTCTTAATACCAGCCGCTTTCAGTGGTTCTTCAAGTAACAATAACATCTTGCGGAATTGTGAGAACACAACAGATTTAACTCCTCTGTTTTCCAAGAGAAGTTTCAGTAAAGCAGACACTTTTGAAGATGCTTTAGGTGAAGAGGATGTATTGTTGTCATCTGACAATTCTGCTGGGGGTGGTGCTGAGTAAAGCTCGGACTCTGACAAGGGATGGCGGCACATAGGACAGTTGGTTTTGGTAAGCTTAAGAGTTTTAACAATGCAGGCACGGCAGAATATGTGGGCACAACTTGTTATTATAATATCCGCTGGTGGAGAGATGCAAATTGGACAGTCGAAGTCTTCAGCATCTTGCAGCAATGACACCAACTTCTCCAACAGTTCAGGATTATTAGACACATCTGCAGGGTAGTAATAACAAGGAGATGAATGATATCTAGATAGATGCTAGGCATTTTATTATAACAGCAACATGTAGTTAAAGGAAACAGCATCAATAGTGCCTTAGATACCTTTGTTAGCTCAATCCTTTCTACAAGACTGTTTTCTTCTTCATGTGAAGTTAATTAACTGAAAATGTGATGTTCAGAAGAAGAAAAAAAAAAAAGCTTCACGCAGGCTCTTACAAAGTCACAACAATGCAAACTAGTAAAATAATGGTAGACTTCAAAACAGCTTGCCTCAAATAAAATAAAAATAAAAAAAGCATATGGCTTCAAAAACCAAAAAATTCCCATAGCTGTATATAGAAGACAGATTAAAATTTGAAAGTCCTAAATATCTATAAAGTTAAAGCTAATCTATCTAGAACAAGAACATCCACATTTAGTAAAAGGTTGAAAAGTTTCATGATACGTAACTAAGTAAGAAAAAAATTGTGAGGAAAAGGCTCTAAGTTCCCTTATCAACATCTACAATGGGTAAGTGATTAGAAGACAAGTAAATGAACATATAAAATCTCTCTGATGGCCAACGGTAACCAATATTGTTCATCAAATAAGGAAAAAAAAGCTTGCATATCTTGATTTCCCCCACTGGACATTCACAGCTAATACTGTATTAAAACTAAATCTATATCTTCATTTACAACTGACCTAATCCGTGGCAAACTTATTTAGCTTCAAACAATTATAATACTTTTGACAGAGTAGAATAAATGGAGCAGAATAGCTACTATAATTCTGGAAATGGACATTAAATTCAGAATAACTAAAAAAAGGAGTTTACATAAATAAGTCAATTGTCTAAGGAGAAACAACAAGAGGCAACAACAAAAACCGCCCAGTTGGTGAGATGTTAAGGGTGGAGTTTAGAAACAAATACCAATTCAGGTAAGTAACCCCTTAGTATTATTCATAATTATCAATTAACATATAAAAGCATATATGGAAAAGTACATCTTATAGAAAACATCCACTAATAATCTAGCCATGAATTCATGATTCCACTGTCCTCAGCATTAATGCTTGAAAGCTCTGCGCTTTGAACATATATGTAATCTTACAGAGCCAACATGTATATTGCAGAGTAATCAACATTCCCAGCAACATATAGATGCATCAGTGGAAGATAAGTGTTTAAAAAGAGCAGACAGAAAAGGATGTATGTACAGGATAAGATGTAAAACAGACATGCAAATACATAAAGAGAGTGAAAACCTTGAACATTGTCTGGAGGGAGCAAGGATTTAATGTCATGTGGGCACAATGCGACATCAGTACAGATTTGGCGAAGTCTCAATATAATGCTGAGGACAGTGGAATAGTTACGGGTTACACTACCATCATTGATATAATTCTTCACAATCTGTTTGGCTTCTTCTTCCATGCGGTCATATAGTCTACGTTCCTCATGCATAAGTTCAACATAACAAGTATCTATTGATTTTGATGGTAACTGGATCAAATTTTGCTCTTTTGTTCTTCTCAATGAGATAGTTGCCATTAAACCCTACAATGAGATGTTTAAAAAATAAGGTTAAGAATAACGAACAGTACATCATTGCTATTCATTGGATTGTAGACTGTACTTTAGATTCTTTTGCATGAAGGAATGGAGTTATCAGTGATGGGGCAGACAAACTAAGTGACAAACAATGACAAAGTCAAATAATGCTGAATTATCTATAAATAATACTTCTATGTAGAATGAGTGTTGCATTATCCTAAAGCATAACTAATTTCCCACAAGCTAAAAAAACACAAGAGAAAAGATGTACCTGAAGACGCTCAAGACCTTTTTTATCTCCCTGAATTAATGGCTGTTGCACAACTCTATTCCAGTAGTCTTTATTAGAGAAGGGTTCAAATTTCAAGAAAGCCATAAGAGAAAACAGATCATAGGAGCTGTTCTGTATGGGTGTTCCTGTCACCACCCATCTTCTCTTACTATTTAAAGCTGTCACTGCACGACTCAGCTTTGCATTGGTATTCTTAATCATATGACCCTCGTCTAAGATAATACGCCTCCAGTCCATCTTGTTCATCGGTGATTCAGATTGACTCTCCTCAGCAGACAAAGTATTATATGAGGTGAGCACAACATCATACTTCTTAAGCACCTCCATATCACGTATCCTGTCCTTGCCATGGTACTCATAGTACTTCAACGAGTTAAGACAAGTGTGATCACTCAGCTGTTCTGTCCAAACCGAAAATACAGAAACCGAACACACAACTAATGTTGTATGTGATGATACCAAGTTCTCATTCACCCCATCACTTGAATCAACTTTCCTCTTCTTCCTAGCAGTATTAACACTACCCCTTTTTCGCTTTCTATCACCAGAATCATCTATATTATCCCCATCACCACAATTCTCACTAGTATTACCTACACTACCACAACATCTTTTATCATAAACAATCAAAGAAAGTAAAGTTAAGGTCTTCCCCAATCCCATATCATCGGCGAAAATCCCACCCCTAATCGGCTCAGGCCTCGTGTTCGTCTGATAATTTGTCAACACATTAACAAAAACCCCATCCCTCTCCTCCCAAAAAGGGGGCAATTCCTCAGAATTCTCCCTCCCAACCAACCACCCAAGCCCTTCTTTCTGGTGATCAAACAACTCAGGCAAAATAACATCTTTAGGAGGCTCCAATTTCACAATCAAACCCTCTTTTCTACCCACATTTTCACCCACCAACTTAAAAATCTCATCAACACTCTTAACATCCTTACTATTCCTCTTCTCCTTCACAACCTTGGCATCCGATAGCGCAAAACTAGGACTATTTCCAGAAATTAACTGCAACCCACCTCCTAAAATCGCAGATTGAACAACTGGGAAAGCCTCAATTCTAGCAAATATATGAAGTTGAACAGGAATTTTAAACCTAGAACCTGAATTAGGAGTATTAGGAACAATACCTTGAACAATAATCAATTGGGTATCCATTAATGGTGCTAGAACTTTCGCAGCAACTCGTTCAATGTAACCCACTTGAGCCCCACGAATATTGAGCACTCTAATGGCGTTTTCGTCGTGCACATTCAACTCATCTCGGACTAAACCCACCAATTGTCGGCCGCTTATTCTTGCGGTGTTGTGCTGCATGCCGACGATTTTGACGATGACGAAACCCACCATGTAAGTTTCGGAAGAAGAGGAGAGAGAAAGTCGGGGGTCTGTCAATTGGGTTTCTCCAGAATTGTAGGAGGTTGTCATTTTGTTTAGAACTTTAGATTATGAGAAATTGATGAATGAAGAAGAAGGAGAATTAGGGTTCTTGAAATTTAGTTGAATTTAGAGAGAAATGGGGGTTTGAGATGGTCGAAGATTTTAAAGTGGCCACTTCAAATGTTCTGTTTCAGAATTCTCAACGACGATAAATTTGAAAAGCCAGAAAAGGTGGAGTTGAGCGGGTTATGTCCCAAATTTTTAAATACTTCGTAATACTCGTACAGTCGTACTATGTAACTCGTACATCGTATCGCCTTGTCATTTTAAAGGTGTTTGAAAAAAAAAAAAAGACAAATTGTGATAAAATTATATGCTTATAGCGCAACTAATAAAAGTTGGTTAAAAAAATTACAAATACCAAAGTTGCTTTTAGCGACTCACAAAAGTTGACTTTTTTAAAAGGGTTGAATGAAATACCAAATTTACAATGACAAATTGACAATTTAGTGGCATTAGTGACTAGTCTCTTCACTTGTGACTTAGGTGCTCCAATTAAGGATAAAGGGTTGATCAAGAATCTCTCTAGTTCTAAATATTGAGTAATATATGATTAAGAGTACTCAAAAGTTGGAGGGAGGGTACTTTACCTCTTAGGGTCTGTTCTCTTACGTTGAAATTCAGTTCAGTTCAGTTCAGCTCCTAATTTCCTCCTCTTATAAATATTAATTTCATTTTAGTTCAGTTCAGCTCTATTCAGTTCAGTTCAGTTCAGTTCAATTCAGCCCAGTTCAGCTAAGTTCAATCAATGAGAACAGGCCCTTATTGTATCTTTCAATCTAGTTCTTGCTTCTATTTCTCCCCCATTTAATGGCATTAATCAATAAAAAAAAACCTAGAAAAACCAATGAAAAAAGTCAATTCAAAATTTAAATAACTCAATAAGCAATAAAACAATTACACAAAGATCTCTCAAATTCAGATCAGAAAAAATAAAATCCATTTGAAGAACAACAATTGGGTTAGATCTGCGCACTTTAAGAATAAATAATAAAAAAAAAAAGAGATTAGAAGGAAAGAGATAGGACTTACGAATTGGATTAAGAGAGAAAGAAACAGAGGGATAAGGTTTATTTGAATGGACAAAATAAACAAGAACCCCATAATAATTAATTTGGAGCAAATTCAAAATCCAACACAAAAGTGCTGCGATTTGATCTGATCTTCGTCTTCTTCATCAAATATGTCGAATTTTTGGGGCGAATTATGGAGAGGAAGGCAAGGAATTTGGAGTTTTTGGTGGCAATGGTGTTGTCATCGGAGTTGACGATGAGGGGGTGACGGTGAAATTGGTGGTGGTCTAGTGTTTGTTTTTGAGTGAAGAATAAGATGTGAAGGGAGGGGAGAGAAGGTGAATTAAAAAGGTACAATTACAAACATCAGTACCCTCTGCATAAATGTCAGAAATTTATTTTTCCTTTTTTTTTAAGCTTGGATAACCTGTTGTACTAGGTAGATTTTGTGATGAGTACTCTGCCTGCAAATTCTGAAACTTGAGTTCCTTCACTGCAACTTTTGCCATACATTAGTACTCTCAATTATATATTACTCTCTAAATATTAGATATTGAACCTCAGGCTCAACATATTGATCAACAAATGAATTGAACAATCACTATATCAACTATCAAGACCAACATGGTAAACATTTTATATTGTGTTTTAAGGATTGAAGAAGTGTTATTGCATACCGAGTTGATATCTACTACAAAAGAAAAGATATATTAAGGGTTTGTTCTCTTACGTTGAAATTTAGTTCAGTTCAGTTCAGCTCAGCTCCGCTCCTAATTTCCCTCTCTTATAAAATATTCAGTTCAGTTCAGCTCAGCTCAGCTCCGCTCCTAATTTCCTTCTCTTATAAAATATTCAGTTCAGTTCAGTTCAGTTCAGCTGAGTTCAGTCAATGAGAACAGGCCCTAAGTGCACCATAATGAAAAATGAATGACCTATTGACCTATATGTTTTGTAAGGGTCATTAGACTCATCACTCCTCAGGCTTCTCGAACATCTCTTTTTCCTCTTCATTCTTCAAAAACATCTTTAATAGAAAAGTTACATGTATTCTAAATAGATCAAAATAAAAATCCATATGAAAATGATTTCAATAAGGATGTAAGTTATTTGATTGCTAGATATAAGGTTCCTACATGTTAAGTATTGCATCAATTCACTAACATTATGTACATGTCAACTATCTTGATTGATTAAAATTTTAGGTGGAATAAAAAACCTTGAATCAAATTTTGTTAGATAGTTGCTTCACTAGTCTCATCCAAAGGTTTTCAAGCATACAACTGTCTGAATAACTTGTATTTCAGTCCTATTAATCTAGATAAATAGATAATACATGTATCAACTTGTGTAGGCAGGAAAACACAATTGAAGAAGAAGTTAACATTTTGTCATTATAATCAGCATTTCTAAGAGATCAGACACATTTTGAGTAAAAACCAACAATTCTCAGCAGTCAGTAGTTATATTGTTAAATTTCTGCTAATCTTTTAGCAGCTTTCACGAATTAAACTAAAATTCCCCTCGGCGAACTTGTACAAGACTGCAAATGCAAATTTTTCTACCAGATGTAGCTAGAAAGATAAATTCTACTCGAACTATAACCAAGAGAAATCAACAAACAACAATTTTATACCAGTATCAGTGTATCACACAAAGTTACCAGGCTACTCGCTAATTCAGGCATATATTGAAGCTGATACTTCTGCAGCATTCTCCAAAGCAATGCAATACTAAAAATTAAAAACTCTACAATAGAAAAGAAAAGGTAAAGGGTGAATACAAATAACAGGACAGAGGAAAAAACGTTCAGGAATGAGCAGGTGCATCAGGTGGGATGGTTGAAGAAGGCGGGGGCTCTCTTCTAAGCTCCTTCACAACTGCAGCAACCGCCTCAGGGTTCAAGCCAAGATCACATAGTGCAATCAAGACAGAAAGAGAGTGACGATCTAATCCCGTTTCAAGTATGTTCGACATCTGAAATGCTAGTTCCAGAGAGTCTCGTGCAGTTCGTGCAGCCTCCGAATCCATCTATGCAATACCTTCAGTATTGCTTCACTAATATTACTGAGACAGACAAATGTGGAAAAAACTGAGCTTCTTCCATTAAATAACGAGTTTCTATTTCAATGTAGAGGGAGGAAATCATCGTTTAAAAAAGTCATACGACATCTACAATTATAAATACACCCCCAGAATACAGTATATCAAACATATAAACAGGAATTTTTCTGAGTATCAAGAAATCGGATATTTAATAAAACAAATTCGGACTCGATTCAAACTTCATGGTTTCATCAATAATAAGGAAATTGGGAAATCAGCACCAAATTACTGCAATTCAATTTCTTTTATTTTTTTTCCTGAGTGTCAAAAATTTGTTCAAAATCCAAAGAAATAACAAAGCTTATTATAATTACAATATATATATTCGAGTTCTGCACTAGCACTACTAGGGATTTAATATAAAAAATTGAAATTTGCATACTAAATATTTGAATTCGTGATTGAATTCAAGACCTAACTAGGGTTTTAATTTAGGGTTTTGTTTAGCAATTCTTCAATCAATCAATTAAATCAAATCATACAAGAATTCACAGGAATATGAGATGATAGGAAGAATTATTACAAACTCATATAGATTACAAAAATGGAAGATTGAAGTTCCAATTCAAAACGAAATAATTTGAAGATAAAAACATGAAAATAAGCATTCTAACGGTAATTTAAAATTGTTGAGCAGACATACCTTAAGAATTGGAAAGGTAGAGGGTGAGAAATTAGTCAAGATTTGCGATTTGTGGAAGAAAAAGTAGGCAAAAGGAAGTTTGCTTGAAAAGAAAGGGAATGGAGGAGAGAGACTGAAGACCCAAATTGAGTAGTATTTTCCCGCCTATGTCTAATACGTCCAACTTTCACGAAACCAGGGAGGTTGTTATGTATATTCGGGTGTATGATATACCCAAAGATATTTGTTTGCTCATTTGACGATAAAATGAGCCATAATCATACCATACACCTGTATATCACTGCTTCTACGAAAGAAAACTAGAAAATAGTGACAAACTAACAATACTCTCTCCATTTGTTTTTTCATAAAACTTGGACAATTTTATGGAAGGAAAAGGACCCGAATTTTTTTTATGTTGCTATGTACATGTCTATTTGTCCTTTCACACCTGCCCCATAAGTCTGTCCCTTTAAGTTTGTCCTATAATACTTTTAGTTGTATCTCATCTAAATCAAACATTGTTACAACGATTTTTTTTTTTTCAAATAATTCTCTAGTTGGTTTTATAAAGGCCTAGTTTGATTTTAGGTTGGTTCATATCTAGTTTGGATCCTTTTACAAGTTGAGTGATCATTGTTATTTTTCTTTTTTTAAAAATAATACTCCGTAGCTTATAAGTCATACGAATACATGACTAACCAAGTGGTCAAAGCTCATATGTGGCATAATCCCTTTAAAAAATGAACACGTAGTATTCACTTTATATAATTAATAACCTTGAGGATAGACGAATCATTTAAAATCCTATCCAATTTACATCACTGTCTTTCAAGCCGCTCTTGACCCTAAAGAAAAACCAATGTTGTCCAATCAACACCTTATAGATGAATAACCAAGAACATTAATTTAGACTTATTTCCTCTAATGCAATACAGTAATTTTAACCAACCACTGTTGTTAACTTGTTATCCACCTGAGTGAGTGACACTCTCAAGTTCTATCAAATAAAGCATTGCAAACATGCCAACTTCACATTGTGCTCAAATTGCAAGAGGAGAAAAATCATTCATCCATTAGCATCGAAACAATGGGAAAGGCAAACTACGTTTGAACCTTCGTGCCCTAAAATCTTGCTTGCAATCAGTTGCTTGACAAACTTGAGCTTCTTAAAGAGCAACAAATGAGCATTGCTACTTCAATATATGATCTCCTGATCTCCTCTAGTGCAACAACATTTGTCACTTCTCTTGCTTCTTCCTTTCGCTGCATGCCTTAAGAGCTTGAACCTCTACACAAGTGCAAAACGTGCAAGAACAAAATTAACAAGAACTTGAGCAAACTTTGAAATTTCTACTTTTAGACAACAAGATTTTGAAAGAAATTTTAATCTAATCAATTTAAAGGATGGAAATGGTAAAATAAACCAAAAAGAAAACACAGGGTGTTGAAAAGAAAGCACACCCTTTTGGCACGATTTCCAGTTTCTGTCGGTTTTAATCAGACAATCCTACACGTATGTTCAGATTATACATAAAATATTAGAAACAAATTGTATCTTCTTATACATAGTAGTAATGTAGTACCATACTTGTGTACCTGTAACGACAAGTACAAAGATGAGCAATCTCCAAGTTGCTTCACACTCTCATCCTCCTCATCTGCATCATTTTGATGAACTGGTGGTGGTGGCTGTTGAGATGGCAAGGATGATGATTGATCAGATTTGATGCTTTCGTCGTGTAAGTTTGCTTTTGTACTTGGGTTCATCCTGAATGGATATCTTTCACTCAGAAACAGTTACCAAATGACAATTTTCTGAAGTATAAAGAAAAAAAGAGAACCAGTTTCATTTCAGCACAAGAGCGCTACATAAAATTTTCAAAGTGATGACATAGAGCGCTACACATGATAAAAGATTTGGCAATAAAAGGAGACAAAAAAAAAAAGGCAATACTGCAATAGAACACTTTATGATGGTAGACATATTGGAAACAAGATGCATTATAATTTATGCGGGCGGATGCATACTAAATTCATTATGCTTGATGTAATAACTATGGATTTAATTGATTCGCAGTCTTTCTCTTGCAAGATAGCCAATAAAAGTATTTTCTAAAAGCAGCTTCACTTCAAATACTGAAGCTAAATCGACCAAAGCCACCATATTCCTTAACCTGGCACATTATAGCCCATTTCACAGTACTTGATTGCAGGGAGCACACATCCTAGTCCACAAAAATGATCACTTGCTCAATGTGCTGAAAGAGGACTAAAACAAGAATCAACACCTACTTCCAATAGTTATACATTGCAAAGATAACTGATTCAATCAATTAACTAGGAATATTTTAGTGGCTTAATCTATCATTCTACCAGGTTTCAAAAAAAAAAAAAAAAAAATATCATTCTACCACTAAACCAATCAATTAAAAGACCATAGTATTGCACTATTGCCGCACTTTGAAATACTGAGGCCTGAGCTTAGAGAGGGATGACATCTTTTTTTTTTTCTTTTTTTTTTCCCTGGGGTTAGCACCAACAGTCATACTTGAGAACTGCAAGACACAGTAATTGACCTGATACCCCCCCCCCCCACACACACACACAAAAAAAAACTTATAGAATTTACATAGAGCCCTGAGTTTTTGGAGGAATTATTATCTGTAAAAAAGTCTAAAGGAAAACACCTAAAAAGGAATCAGCAAGTCAAACAAGCAAATAAAACCAGATGTTCAAGGCAGCTCTCACATTCAAATCCGGCTAGCAGCAAATAACTCTTTTCCAAACCCGGGCTATACTTTATTTAGGAGTTAGTATAAGCTATAATTTCTGTTGTATGCTTGTATACATCCCAAGTACCAGAAACTATCACATTTCAAGCAATAATTTTGAGATGTTGTCTATCATTTACATAACAGTCTCTGACAATGTATAACACAACCCGGCATTTTGGGCATTTTCCTCTCATAAAACTGATTCAACTTAGCTTAGCTATAAAAAGTTGAAACAGGGTATGCCTCTGATATTTCTTAAAAGTGTCAAGCTTTCATACTTATGCAAGAGTGTCAAGTATCTTACAGGTACTCATTGTAACCTAGAGACTTGAGTATTCCCCTCCATCCATGTAACACCCAAAAAAACATCTCATAAAGTTTCAGGAACTTACTAAGTTGTAATCGTGTTACTATAGGCCAACAAAATGTATGCTGCCATAAACAAAGAAGTAATATTACTCACTACGCTTAGAAAGCAATCAAAGGAAAATCTAGGATGTATACCCAGCTATGGTCCCGAAATTGATAAATCAAAATGTGGCTATTCTCAAATAATTTGAACAATGATTATTCATAGTCTTATACATGACTGTAATTAGTGAACTCTTTTTTCTTGTGGCCAATATGACTTAAAAAGGAATTTAAGTTCATGATTCCACAACCTCTAGGAAACTATTCACTTCTGTATTACACAATATCCACTCATAAGTCTAATAACATTATACTTTAGATACTGATAGGCCAAGTTATTTCAAAAACCCAATGTTGACAACAAACTAAAAACCTTCAAAATCAAAAATCCAGAAATTGACCCAGATAGAAAACCCAAATATTTGACATCAAAACATTTCCACTGTTAAAAATATTATCATTTCTAACATCCCAAACCATATGAACTGCAGTAGCTAAGACAGCTTAACAGATTCATGTATTCATCTCACACTATAACGAAACATGATTTGAGCAAGATAGGGAACAATGTCTTCTATCTATAGCTTATCAAGTGTGGTGCCAAGCATGGATCCCAATGCCAAAATGAAATTAGATTGGGATTGTCAGAAAGTATGTGCCGATAAGTCTCTTACATCAGCTCACAACACATGCAATATAATACTTGTATCTTTTTTAGGATGCCAATCAGCAACATAGTTTCTATTTGGGAATTGCCAGAGAAGATGTCTAAATGAATCAAGGACTCAAGGTATTTAGACCATCCTAAATAAACAAGTCACTGCATTACTTTTGACCTATTAACTCAACAATTCCTCTATCAAAATCATTATGCTTGATGTAATTACTATGGATCCTATTATCTATCTCTTTCTTGCAAAGACAGCCCAAAGATAGTTCTTCAAAAAAAGCAATACTAAAGTTACATAGACAGAACCCACCACAACCTTTAGTCAATTCCACCAATACTAGTCTACAAGGAGCACAATTCCTAGTCAATAAAAACCATCCACTTGTTCATTGTGATGCAAAAGACCTTAAAGAAGATATCATCCAACTCCAAAAAGCCTTCATCGGTAAGTAGGACCTCAATGGTAGAGTTCCCACCTTATAACCACGAGATTAGGGGTTTATTTTTCATTGCCAACCTAATGACATCAGTCTAAATATAAAACTTTTCCTTCCTTGGGGTTATCTTGTGAGGTCAGTTAAATTTCGGGAGGAAATGACCATAGTATCATTCCTCTAACCTTCCTAACCTGAGCTTAGAGACGGAAACCTAGGTTAATCCAATAGGATTGCCAAAAGTCTGACTTGATAGCTGAAAGATAGAGTTGTTAACCTAATTTAAATGGCCAAATTATACACTTGAATCTGCATCTTTGGTTCTTCATTAATGATGAAATCATACTTCCAATGCAATTAAACAACTAAAGATATAGGCCGTTTACAAATACACCATTTCCTAATTTCATCATCCCAATCCTATCAAATTTAGCGCAAATTTTAACTTTCCAATACAAATTATACCAACAATAATTCTAAACAGTTTATCCAATATTAATAATCAACATTGCAAAATTAAGACCAACAAAAATACGACAAAGTAAACTAAAATTAAGCAGTAATTCAACATAGGAAAGTTTAATTTACACAGTTTCGCCCTAACATTTAAGGGTTTTGCAACAAAATAGCAACCAAATTTGACTCAATTATCAAAATAAGTTCTTCGACTAAAATTAAATCAGTACCAAATACCAATACATAGTTCAATAATCAATCCACATTAAATTGAATAAAATGAACAATTAACACTAGATTGTGAAACTGATATTAGGTGATTAAGAAGAACATCTTACCTACGCTTCAATGGAGTAGAGGAAGCTCGCAATCCGCTTCAATGGAGCTTTTTGTTCTTTAAAGGTTTTTCTGAGTAACATTGCAAGGTAATATGTTGAGAACTTGAGAAAAAGAGAGCTAGGTACGGGCCGGCACGCGGGCGGCACGGGCCCGGCACGATTCCGGCCCGGCCCACCCGTGCCGTGAACACAAATCTGGGAATCGGCACGACATGAGGCACGGTGAGCGGCACGATGGCCGGCCCATGGGTTGGCACGAGGGCACGGTCGGGCACGGCACGAGGCCCGCTATAATTATACACTATTGTACAATTTTTGTATTATCGAACCTCTTATTCCGTATAATAAATGAAGTTATTCACCAATTATTGTACGATTTTTAATTATCATTAATTATTTGTATTATCGATTTATCGTACCGGCTACCGGCATATAATAAAATAATTTATTCTTCAATTTTTTGTGTTTTCGGCTTATCGCACTCGTAAATTTTTGTTTTTTATTATATGCATTGTTGTTTTTTGCTAAATTAATAAAATTATTTGTATAAACTTAAACATAATTAGATAAATAATTTATATAACCTTAATTAAAATAAAATTGTTCAAAACAAAATATATTAACATTAACATAAACATAAAATTTGGCGCTTGTGTGGGGTCTGGGGGGTCCCTTCGAAACGTAAGTGTTCAGAGGTACGAGGGAAGTACTCTAGCCTCGAGAGGGCACCTTTGCCCAGGCAATATGCGGAAACCGACTCGACCATCCATATGAGTCATACAAACCTTTGTTCTCTCGAGGTCTATAAGAAAAGTGAGCAGAAAAGTGAGCGCCAACCTCGGGATGCTTTACTCCTAACCCCACATGGTTCCGAGACGGAGCTTAACCTGAGTCTCGGTTAATAACGACAATGATCTACGTTGGGGGTCGCGTCCTTCGAAAATACGAATTCGAGGTTGGGGCGAAATCGGTTTTCTCAGTTGCCTTGTTGCGTGAGAAACTTGTTTCGAACTGTCCCCTTTTCCAGTTTTTTAAGGAAAATAAGGGACTGGCGGTATAAAAGGTCCAACTCGCTGTAACCAGAGGAATTGAAAAATTCGCTCTCGGTTACCGGACTGAAGCCGTAAAACCTAGCTCAAAACACCAAAGCCCCATCCCCTAACCTGCCCCCTCCGAGGGCCAAACTCCACTTCGCTCTACTCTAAGGGTATAGAAGCCCAGCGTTCGAAACAAGTTTCTCACAAGGTCGTAGCCACGCTACTCGGTTGTGCTCTCCGCAACCAAAGCGAAGCGAGCCGCGCTAGAAGAAAGATTTGATCTTGTCCTCTCCCTTTCCAAAAGCATAGCCATCACGATCCCTTGTGGAATAATAAAAAGAATTTGCTGGGGAGGAAATAAAGATATCAAATTCTTACCAAGATAGCTGGAAATTCCAACCAATAAGAATCCTAATGAACCGAAAAAAAGGATAAAGGCCCAGCAGAAATATTACTTATTTTTTGAGATCCCGTTATATAATGGCTATTTCTGAATTTCCTCACGCAACCATAGCCTTCTTCCTCCACGTACATGCATGATCACGCAACCATAGCCTTCTTCCTCCACGTACATGCATGATCCAGTCGAACTGACGAAACCGTAAAGTTCCGCCACTATTTAACTGACGAAACCGTAAAGTTCCGCCACTATTTTACTAGAGGCCCTGGCGATTCACATCTCGTCATTTTGAATCTACGAATTTTTTTGGAAACCCTTGAGGAAACTAATTTATTTACATTTATTATTTTTTTAAAAAAAAGGCACGGTTTGGCCCGCGCGCTCGCCAGGCACGTGGGTCGTGCCGTGCCGTGCGCTGGGGTGTGCCAAATTTAGGCACGGCACGGCCCGCCGCGGAGTCGGCACGGCACTCCCACCACCACGGCACGGCACGGCCAGACACGACCCGCGGCGGCACGGCACAGCCCATTGCCCATCTTTAGGGGTAGGCTGTGTTGTAAACCAAAAAAACAACATAAGCCCGCGGGCGGCACGCAATATCGGCCCGCGGCACGGCCCGCCAGCACGGCCCACAGATCGGAACGGCAGCACGAGTAACAACCATATTTTACAACAGCTCTAATTTAACGGCTAGCTTTTGCTTTCTACTGGTTAGCTTTTGATTTAAACGGCTTTTTTCACTAATTCTCTATAAATACATCAACTCATCATCCTTTTTTTTCACAATTCTTTAGCTCAATTCTCAATTATTTTAATGTCTTGTTCTCTAATCTCTTATAATCTTTTATTCTCTAATTCACTCAAATCTCAGTTATCGAAATTCTTAACAAAAAATTAAAAGTTCGTGAAATTATTTTGCCGAAACCAATCGAAGCTTGGCTGTAAGATCTGACTCATATTTATTTTAATTTATTATTCTTATTCTTAATGTAATTGTTATAATTATTTTTCATATTATTGTTATTATTACTTGTATTATAATTATTGTTAATTTTTTTTAAAAAAAATATTGTTATTTTATTAATTTCTTATTTTAATTAATTGTGCTATTTTTAATCATGACATCAAACCCAAACCCCTCCTCTTCTTCTAGTAATGCCAAATTTCTCTCGGTTAAAACCAAGTCCGAGATGGGGCACTTAATTTAAGTAGACATGTTAATAAATGTGGTGAACCATCTAGTGACCCAACTCAACTCAAATTTTCTCAATACCATCAACATGGCTTCACTTAATTACAATTATGAGAATGATAGGGATGAACTTAGGAGAATGTTAGTACATGCTGAAAAACCTTTTCTTTTCGCCGAAAATGATTCGTTTAACAATTACATTAATAGAGCACTACAACCCCAATACAAAAATATCTCTAGAAAAATTGTTCGTTCAGCTTCCATGAAAACTTTCTTAGAGTACAAAATGAGGTTAGTTGAAGAATTAAGTAATCTTATTTGTAGAGTTTCTTTAACCGCAGATGCGTGGGATAGTAGTTATGGATACCATTATTTGTGTGTGACTTGTCATTGGGTGGATAATGATTGGTTATTATAAAAACGCATTATCGATTTTAAAATGCTAGAATACCCCCACACTGGTCTTAATATTTCTCATCATTTAATGCAAGCTATCGATGCATATAATCTTAGACCCAAAATCATGTCTATGACATTTGATAATGCAACATCCATGATATTTAGTGCAAATTTAGTTAAACAACAATTATCTGATGTCATATTAGATGGAGATGCACTTCATATTAGATGCATTTGTCATGTTTTTAATTTGTGTGTGAAGGATGTAACTAATGCAATTGGTCCATTTTATCATAAAATTAGAAATGCTATTATTTCTATTAACAGTTCTAACATGAGATTTCAGGAATGGAAAGCTTTTCTTAGGCAGCTAAAGATAAAGTGTATCAAAATCAAAACGGATTGTCTAACCAGGTGGAACTCCACCTATGAAATGTTGAGTAAGGCAATCGAGTACAAGGTTCCACTAACAGTTTTTTTTTAATCAAAAGTTTCCACATTTTGCTTTACTAGAAGAAGATTGGTCTAATTGTGAAAAATAAATGCAATTTTTACAATTATTATATAGTATGACACATTGTGTTTCTTCTGTTTATAATCCTTGTTCTCAATCTTTTCTTAGCAATGCATGTTTACTTGCCCAATTTTTCGCTGAACATCGCTCCCAACACGATTACAATGAATATACTCCATCAATGGAGGAAAAATGGCGTAAATATTACACCATCTTCCTATGATTTATATTTTTGCTTCTATATTAGATCCAAGGCAAAAGTATGATGGCACATTTCTATTAATTGATATTTATTTTCAATACATGCAATTTGATGATGATGTTGAGTCTTATAAAGCTAATGTGACCGATCAATTTTTTGCATTATATAAAATTTATGAATCTAAATATGGAACCGTTTCTCGATTTGCTCCTTCTCAATCAACCAAAAACGTAAATAAAAGGGCCAAAGCCCAAAGGTTTATTTGCACAAGCTACTAACATGATGTCTAAGTATTCAGGTAGTGAATCATCGTCTTGGAGAACACAAAGTGATGTTTCAGAATTGCAAATGTACTTAAATTACGACTTCATGAGAGGCATGGACGAAGAAGAGAAGTACGGCCTCGACCTCATTGATTGGTGGAAAGCACAAAACATGATACATCCAATTTTGGCGGCAATGGCACGTGATATTTTTTCTATCCAAGTCTCCTCCATTGCCTCCGAACAAGCTTTTAGTGGGTCAAAAAGGGTATTAGACGATAGAAGAACAAGACGATAGAAGAACAAGTCTAAAACTCGAAGTCTTTGACCGGTTTACAACTTGCACCGATTTCATCAACTCAAGCCTACCACGAACATTTATGACAACATATAATGATCATATATGGTTCCAAATAATGATCATATATGGTTCCAAAAATCTAAATGGCATTATATGACCCGAGATGTATTCCCTAGAATTTCAATACTTTTCAACACCGAGCCCAGAAACCTTCAAAATTTCGCAAAATGCATGGAAATTAGTCTGCAATTTTGGGATTTTTTGAATTTTTTCGCTCGGAAATAAAAATTGCCAAAATATTTACCATGGTCCCTAACATACCCTTCGGGAGTCCAATTGGGTGGCTGGAACCATCCAATTTTCCTTTAAAACGACCAATTTACCAGTTTACAACTTCATCGATTTTATTAACTCAAGCCTGCCACGAACATTTGTAACAACTTATAATGATCATATATAGTTCCAAACGACATTATATGACACCGAGATGTATCCCCTAAATCTCAAGGCTTTTTGACAATAGGCCACGAAACCTCCAAAAATTCTAAAAAATCATGGATATTATAGCCTTCATTTTTGGAATTTTTTGACTTTTTTTCGCTCGAAAATAAAAATTGCCGAAATGTTTACCACGGTTCCTAATACTCTCCGAAAGTCCAATTGGGTGTGTGGAACCATCCAATTTGCCTTTAAACGATCAATTTACCGATTTACAACTTGCATCGATTTCATAAACTCGAGCCTAGCACGAACATTTATGACAACAAATAATGATCATATATGGTTCCAAACAGCATTATATGACCCCGAGATATATTCCCTAGAATTTCAATACTTTTTTGATTCCGGACCCTGAAACCTCCAAAATTACTCAAAAAGTGTGGATATTAGCCTTCAATTTTGGATTTTTTTTTACTTTTT